CGAGAAGAGAAATCTATAATTTTCGTTTCTTTTCCATAACCCGATAGATACCTTTCCCGCCGCTGTGTCTACTGAATAGTATTCAAAGATCCGATAGCTCGGTTATGTGATAGGAAGACGAGCTGTGTGGTGGTCTGATAACCCTCCGTTCTGCCCGAGAACGAATCCTATCGATCACCGCGAACAACGCGAGGTCCAGAATGCCATAAGCTCTCCCCTGTCGAAGATGAAAGCTCGCTGACATTCCCGCGGCCTGGATACGTAAGCAGGTTTTCGAATGAATGATTCGGGCTCCAGGTGATATGAGTAGACCGATGTCCGCTGCCTTTGCTATCCATCACATCCCCCGTGCCTACGGTCAATTATCACGAGCAGATGTCTTCACTTGGGACGGAGCTCCTATGGTACCGAAAGACAGCTCTTGAAATGATTGATCATCTTCTGCAGGAGACCAAAGCTCCCGCGAGACTTCCTCTGACCATCGAGACGTGCGTTCCGAGGTGGCGTTAAGAATCATTCACCACGTTGTCGGTGATCTACCCAGACAAATGATTGTATTGCGCGGCGAAGACGAGGCGAACATTGAAGATCCGAGCGACGGAGGCGGCCTGTGGTTTTGAAATCGGAACGATGGACACGCGCGCGAGAAAAGGTTCTGATTACGTTCTGGCATCTCAGAGGTGACGGGACATCGCACAGAGAGGGAACGCTGCGAACTGCAGCTGATGAGCGATGATTAGTTATCAGTGATGACCAAGGTTGTTCCATGAGTGGACTGGAGTGAGGTTTGGATAATATGAGAGGTTATCCCGAAATTTAGGATTCGCGAATATGATTCCCAACCTCTGCTCCGCTTGGGTTCGCGGTGGCCGACTCCCGAGAGAGTCGATTGAGGGCTACGCGACTCTTTGCCGATGAGAACTCTTTCGAAGAGTCATGGTCTGAAGTTCTGGAGATCCGCGACCAGTGCAAAGGCCGGCCGGTCTTCACTCCGAGGATAGATCGCTATCATCGCTTCGAAGTCCACCATTCAAGCTTCAGCTTAAACCAAGGCTGGCGAAAACGCGTGCCGCTGACTGTATGGTGGTCCGCAGCCGGAGTTTCGTTAGTCCACGGAGCACCCGATCCACTTTCCAGAAGAAAACATAATGATATCTGAGCGCGCTCCAAGATCTTCCGAGCAAAAGCTCCACCGCCCAGTGTGGTCTCAGTGATGAGAGGGCCGCACAAGCTGCATAAAATACAGTGGATACGGAGCGGTTTTGTACGTCGGCGCGCTGCGGATCTAACTCACGTACGATTAGCTTCGTACACCGTTCCCGAGGCCAGCAGATGTTTTCTCCCGACTTGGACGGTCTGTCCCTGGATGGGATTGCTCGGGTACCTCGCTCGATGGGTTGAGTCGGACGAGTTTGCTCTTCGATGATAAGTTGGGTTTCGTTCTCGTAGAGTGTTCGACGCTCCTTCAGACATTCCGATTCAAATACGGATAAATTATGGTCCGCGGGACCACGAGGATCGCCCGTTGGTCACCTCTGGCGTAGACTATTCAGAATCCGTACAATTCTCGCAGGACAAGAATTGAACATCATCGTCAACCTATTTCGCGTGTTTGCATCGATGACCGTATCTTCACACATGGCCTGCTATACGTCGGCGTCGAGCCTCCATAAGCCAGTAGCCGTCAGGGGAATTTCACTTCAGCGCGAGAACACCGTATGGAGAGCAGCGTACTATACGAAGAAGTAGTGCGATACTTGAACCGAAACAGTCGGCAGTCGGGGCCGAATTTACACTAAAGCCGGACAGGGTTTCCTCTCCGCTTCCATGACGATCTGACAATGCAGACGATACTCTTGGATTCACTCGGAATCATCAGCATCGAATAGAGAGGAAACCAATGGCAGCTAAGGATTATCTCCGGAATATGTCCGAAACGGAATCTTGCTCACGTCAGTGTCCCCTTGGCTGTTCGACTATGATTTTACCCAGGTCCGAGCAAGTAGCCGCGACTAGATTAAAATTCATGATCCGGCCAACCTCAGCAGAGCTAAAGATAATCATTTCGAGAATGTCTGTGTATGCCTCGATTATGAGGTTCTCACAGACCGTATCGGCGGGAGTACCTTGCCCCCGTCTCCAAAGATTTCTTTCGCACGGCAATCTTCAAAACTGACCTTCAATCAGCATACTCGTCGATAAACGACAAGACGTCCGACATCCCCTTCGGACGCTTGTTGTTGTTGTTGCTGCTGCTGCTGTTGTTGCTGCCGCTGCTGCTGCTGTTGTTGTTGTTGTTGTTGTTGTTGTTGCTGCTGCTGCTGCGGTCGTTGTTCTACGAGACGATCTATGAGTCGTTGTTTTTGTTGTTGTTGCTCGTGTTGTTGTTGTCGCTGCTCTCGTAGCTCTCGCAGTAGGCGGCGGCACAAATCTTTGTAACGGTCCCTTTGCGCCTCCAAGTCTGCGATCCTTCTCTGCAAGAATGGAGATGTCCGTTCAGGAAGGGACAAAGGCCGCGACTTGTCATTTCGTTCTTGAGGCACCACATTCGGCGAATTGACAAGCTTCGATTGCCATGGACGTAGATGCCCCAAATCGTGTACAATCATCTCAAGAATATTTCCATCTGAATGTATCAATGCGATTGCAGGAGGGACAAGACACCTGGCTTGACCAAGGAAGAGCTTTGATTTTTCCTGATTCCTTTTTATCTTCGAACGGGTTGGCGAACCCGGATAGCTTCTACGTGGATTAAGTTCGAGAAAGAGGAGGACTCGGCTTCAGATGAGACGGAGCTGGGGCGAATTCGGCGCGCAGGACAGTAAGACGCCGGCCGCTCCGCGATCGAAATGAATACTCATCACTAGAGACCGGGACTTCATGCACTAAAAAAAGCGAAAATATGCATGCAAATATGCACTGAAAAGAACCGAAATATGCTCCTAAAATGAGCGATACATGCACTCAAAAAAGTGTGATCAGGAGCGCCTACTCGGGAACTTCCGAAGGATTCGTTCACTGTTTATTCACATACGTCGTCCCGATTTTAAATTATTCATGTACACAAGTTAGTTCATTGGTTGCAGTAGACTATCACATGCATTCTCAGGTTTTCAAACGTGAAATTCTGTCGTCGATCGCTCAATATGTGCTTCAAAGTAGAGAAGCTTCTCTCGACGTCTACAGAGGTGATCGGAGCAAACTTGAAGCAAGCCAGCTCAGATGAGTCCAAACCCAGGGACTCCATCTGCACTGTGGTCTCCCTGGAGAACACTCGCGATTTTTCTTAAGGTGTTCAAACCACCGTTCCGAGCCACAGACGCTTCGCTTTTGTCTCGGATGCATCGCCCAACGTCACCAGGGGCCTTCTTGAGGTCTTCGATCATCGCGTCGAAGATGCCGAGACTATCGACAAGTGGAGCTGACTGGGCTTCGAGTGTCTCGATGGCTCGAGGGAGGAACCCGAAATGAGCTCTGATGTAGGCCAGATTCTCCCTTACTGAAGCTTTTTTCAGTAAGTTTTGTGCATCTCTGATGCTCGCCGCTTCATTCGCGTCGAGAGCGTGAACCACTTCCGCGAATCGCTCGAAGTGTTCAGCGTAAAAATTAGCGGCATTCAACCAAGTGCCCCACCTCGTTAGGACTGGCTGCGGTGGCAATGGAATCCCAGGGGCTTGCTCGTGATAGATCGTAACCCTGGAAGCAGACTTTAGGAAGATCTTTTTACCATTGGAGATCAACCTGTCCACGTCGGGGAAATTTGATCTTATTTCCTCAGCGATGCGATGAGCGGCATGAGCCGCACAGGTGATGTGCAGCATCTTTGGAAAAATCACCTTCAAAGCCGAGCCCGCTTTCTTCATATAGGCTGCTCCGTCTGTAACGAAGAGCAGAACTCTCTGGTGCTCAACGCCGGTAGGCCACAGTAAGCTCAGTGAATTCATGAAGGCTTGGGAAATGGTCGAACTGTTCGTCTTATCTAAACATTCCGCATGCAAGAGGAATCTTTCACTCTCCGAGGTATCCAGTGTTCCGACTATGGTTTGAGCGATGAATCGACCCACGGCATCAGTGCTCTCGTCAATCGAGATCCAAATATATTTTCCTGCGACGCGACTTCTGATGTATTCCGGCTTATCCTCGTATATACTTCGCAGGTAGCCCTTTCGAAGAGTCGAAGAAGATGGGACCTCTTGCCTAGCGTGATTCCGGAGGAAGTTCTGGAGCTTTTCATTCTCAAGTTTCCACAGCGGAATCCCGGCCGAGACAAAGGCATCACAAAGATCCATATTGAATTGGGACAGCTTCCCTGATGCGCGATTCAGTGTTGTCAATTGCACCAAGCTTGATGAAGAAGATCTTTTCTTCTTCTCAGCTAATGATTTATGGAGGACACCTTTGACGTGTTGCACTACCTGGAACTTCTTGTCAACGCATACCTCTTTCTCACAGATTTTGCAAAGCAGTACCATTCCATCTGTGGAGAGTATGTCGTTTCCGAACTCCTTGACATAGGACTCGAGCTTCGATTTTCGGCTGGCTGCGACTTTTGGCATTTCGTGGCGGGTGGCGTGCGGCAGCACAACCTGAGCACACACTCGAGCGAGAGAGGCTGGAGAATTCAGTGATCGATACAGGCGGTCGGATATCCTCGTCCCAGTTGCTATATGATTCCACGTGAACGGTTTCTTTCCTTCACCTATCGAGACTATGATTGCTCGCTCTCGCAAACCGCTCAGAATCGAACGTCGCAGTCAGACGAAACNGACCGGTGACAGC